GAAGCTAGCTGAGAAGCAACAAAAGTCCACATGGAAGAGGCACACCAGCCTGTGTGATCATGAGATGTCGATAGGATCAGGGATCAGGCATTAAAGAACAAAAAAATCATATCATTGTGAATGAGGGGGAGTGCGGAGTGGAGACCCAAAGCCCATCTGTAGGCAACTAGACATCCCCTAACAGAAGGGTCACGGGGAGAAGACTAGCCAGTCAGGGTACAGTGTAGCACCAATGAAACATACAACTTTCCTCTAGTTGTTTAATGCTTCCTCCTCCCTACTACCATGATCCCAATTCTACCTTACAAATCCAGCTAGACCAGAGGATGTACACTGGTACAGATAGGAAGTGGAAACACAGGGAATCCAGGATAAACCACTCAGGACCAATAATAAGAGTAGCGATACCAGGAAGGTAAGTGGGTGCCCTGACGACCCTCCTTCCTGGCAAGAAGCACAACTTCCACAGCAGCTAGACAGGCAACACAGATGGGGCCGGACAAGAAAAGCTTTAGCAAACATTCAAAGATGTTTGCAATGGTTCGGTTCTAGGGGGTTCCATGGCGTTAAGAAAAATGGGTTCCCCACATCTGAGGATGGGTCAGTCCTGGGCGGCCCGGAATGGGGAGGGGTGTGTGGGAACGTGGGTCCCCCATCCCAGCTCGACCACTAAGTGCTAAGGAAGCGGGAGGGCGGAGCGGAACGCGGGGGGAGGGGGAGGGGGAGAGCACAGCAGGTGGGGTGCGACGGACCTTGATGTCCTCGATCATGTCGGGCGTGAAGAGCCCGCGGCTCAGCAGCGCGTCCCAGAGCTCGGTCACCAGCAGCTCTCGGACCAGCTTAAGCCTGAGCCGCCGAAGAAGCAGCCGGTCCACTTCGTCCATGGCGGGCAGACGGCAGGGACGCGCCAAGCGCCTTTGCAGCTTCCGGGCCTGGCCTCCGCACCCCGCCCCGCCTCAGGACCCGCCCTCCACGGTGCCAAGTCCCCAAGAACAATTCAGAGCCACCCTCTCCACCCTACCGCGACCTCGCCTCCCACAGCCACAGTCCAGTTGCCCCCAGCACCCGCCACAGCTCCGCGCCAGGGCACCGCCCCGCCCAGGACCTACCCCTACCCCATCCTCTAGCCCCGCCCCGCCCCAAGGCCCCGCCCCACTCCGGGCCCCGCCCCTGTCACCGCCCCCTGCCCATGAGTACCGCCCCGCCCCTAGGCTCCACCCCTTTCCCTCCAGCACAGACCTTTCCCTAGGACCCGCCTCCTCACTGCCACTCCTCTCTAGGGCCCGCCCCCAAGTACCGCCCCCGCCTTCCAGCCCAGCTCGCCCAGGCCAGATGCACTGTGGTGGTGCGTGGCACCGCTTCCCAGGACCACACGCCAGGTTCACAACTACTCCGCCTTCACAAATAGTCCTGCATCATTATATTTATTAGAAGGACATATGGGGAGCCCCTCCTCAGCATTCAACTGAAGCTTCTGCCTCCCACTACTCAGTGCTCAGGTCTGGCCTTTGTTCACTGTTCCAAAAATGCAAGCCATCACCTAACAAAGCCCATCCTAAAACCACTTCCATACACATTCCTCCCAACCACCCTCAAAAAAATCAAACTTACTTAATCAACATTGAGTCAATTCTGCCTCATAGTGACTATGGCAGTTAACATAATCTGGTGTCAATTTGAGACTATTAAGAGTGAAGGGGTGGGGTTTAGCCTGTCAATCAGGTCGCAGCTTGATGACCTCATTTGGAGGCACTAAAGAGATAAAATATTTCACTGGAGGCCAGATCTACACTCTCTGCTACCCATTCCTGTTGACAAGCCACATGGTGCTATGCTGATGGAGCCAGAGCCCTGGAGCTGGAGAAGCCACATGGAGACCCACACCCGCACTGAGATGCTTCCACCACCACTGGATCCACAAGACTTTCCACCCACTGGCCTGTGATCTTCCTATATTTGGCATCATTGCATGTGTTGTGCGAGTCTGAAGAGGAATTTATAGACTGGTTATCAGATATATGGGCTATGTCAGACTTATGGACTTGAACTAGACGGGGTTGGTATGTTTTCTTAATATACAATTACTCTTTGATATAAAGCTCTTTCTTATACACATCTGAGTGTCTCTGGATTTGTTTCTCAAGTCAACCCGACTAACACAGTGACCCTATATAGGATAAAGTAGAAATGCCCCTGTGGGTTTCTATGATGGTGAATCTTTAGGAGAGTAGAAAACCCTGTCTTTCTCCTGCAGAGCAGATCAGCCAGTGGTTTCGACTCAGTTGTCCTTGCAGTTAGCAGCCCAACACATAACCTAGTAAGTATGCATTCCTTGCTTCCACTTTTCAAACCCAGTTGTTTTTATTTATTGAGCATTTGCTATGCCCCAACTACTGGGCCAGCAGCTTTACTGTTGTTAGGTGTCGAGTCAGTTCTGACCCATAGCAACCCTATACACAGAATAAAACACTGCTACAACCTGTGCCATCTCACAATTGTTCCTATGCTTGAGCCCATGGTTGCAACCCGTGTCGATCCATCTTATCGAGGGTCTTCCCGTTTTTCACTGCCCCTCCACTTTACCAAGCATGATGTTCTCCAGGGACTAGTCTCTCCGGACAACATGTCCAAAATATGTAAGATATCACTTCTCAGCCTTTTGGCTAAGATCAAGTGCAAAGTATGTAAGATGAAGTCTTGCCATCCTTGCTTCTAAGGAGCACTCTGGCCATACTTCTTCCAAGACAGACTGGTTTGTCCTTTTAGCAGACCATGGTACTTTCAATATTTTTTGCCAGCACAATTTAAATGCATCATTTCTTCGTCAGTCTCCCTTATTCAACTTTCACATACATGAAAATACTATGCATGTAATCGAAAATACCATGGTTTGTGTCTGGCACACCTTGGTGCTCAAAATAGCATCCTTGTTCTTCAATACTCTAAAGCGATCTTGTGCAGCAGATTTACCTAATGCAATGTGTCATTTGATCTCTTGACTGCTGCTTCTATGAGCATTGATTGTGGATCCAAGCAAGAAAAATCCTTGACAACTTTGAGCTTTTCTCCATTGATCATGATGTTTCCTGTTGATCCAGTTGGAGGATTTGGGTCTTCTTTACATTGAATTGTAATCCACCCTAAAGGCTTCAATACTTGATCTTCATCAGTAAATGCTTCAAGTCCTCCTCACTTTCAGCATGCAAGATTGTGTCATCTGCACATCACAGGTTGGTAATAAGCCTTCCTCCAATCCTGATACCAAATTCTTCAGCAACTGTCCATGCATTGTACTAATTGTCCCTCGCTTCAATCCTGCTGTGAAGTATTTCCCCCCATTTTACAGATGTGTACACTAGGCTTAAGGAAGTGAAGTCACCATTCAAGATCAGTAGTAAGTGGCAGAAGTGGGTGGGGTTCAAACCCAAACCTCAGCCAGGAGTCCATCTTATAATGTAATTTCATCAGCAGCAAAACTTCAGCCTCACCCCGTTCACTCTTTTATTCAACAAATATATAGTGTGACCTTGTGTCTGGCTGCAAGATGGGACTCAAATACAACAATTGTGAGGAATGTGTTGAACCAGGAGTGTTTCATTGTTATACATGAGTCAGAACCAACCCAATGGAAACTAACAACAGAAATTGCATGTGACAAGGTTTGTGCAGACAGCGATGTCAACGTGAAGAAACCAAAACTCTACCCTTAAGAACTTTCACTCCAAGGGAGCAAAAAAGTAAAACCCAAACTCCCTGCCACTGAGTCAATGACTAACAGTGACCCTATGGGTTTTTGAGACTGTAACTGCTTATGGGAAGAGAAAGCCCAGTCTTTCTCCGGAGGAGCTGCTGGTGGTTTTGAACTGCTGACCATGAAGGTCGCAGCCCAACTACTATACCACCAGGATTGTCTCCAGTGGAAGGAGATGGATGATAAACAATATAAATAAATAAGTGATGGAGTGTATTTAAAAGATACAGTATGTTCAAGATGGTGACCAGGGCAAAGAAGAAGAAGAAACACGGGCTGGGGGATATGAAATCTTTCTCTGTATCCCCTAGAGTCCTGTCTCATTGGCTCAAAGAAAGTTTGCCTCATTCACCTGTACACCCCCCACCCCCTGCTCTCTATCACACATACACACACCCTCTCCAGGTTTTAGCAAGGCCTGGTCCATTCTTGGTAAATGTTATTAGCTAGGTTCAGCTCCTCCACTGAATGGCCGTGTGTGACCTTGGGCACCTTCCTGCCTCAGTCTCCCCATCAGTACCAGGAGGAGTTGGGCTGGAAAGAATCCCCAAGGTCCCTTCCAACGCTGACGCTTCAGGAGTCTATGAATAGGGTTAAAGAGAAGAGGGACTAGAAATTGCTTCCCAACGCTAGCAACTGTTGCCAAATGAGGGCCGCCTCCGGGTGAGCGTGGAAACTCCTCCCAGCACCGCGGAGGTCTTCCTGGCGTCCCATCATGCATCGCAACGACGCCTTGCTAGGAGGCACGTTTTGACCTCTTTGGTGACGACCGTCCCTTTGGAGCCAGCCCAAGAACGCATATCGTCCCTATAGCAACCGCGCCAAGTCCACGCGCAGACGGCGGGGGACAAGGGTCAAAAAGATCGCAAATTAGAAGCTGTCGCCGCGCCGAGTCTGCGGCGTCTGTGCGCTGGGCCTTTAAGGGTCACGTGGTTGCGCGCCAGCTCGTCTCCTCCTCCTCCTCCTCCTCCTCCTCCTCCTCCTCCTCCCCAGGCCCGAACGAGCTCCGCTGTGGACTGGAACCTCCCGGCCCGGCGGACTGTCTGGAGCACGGACGCTGCAGCCGGCTAGGCCGGTGCCCTTCCCCGGTAACTCCTTCCCAGCGTGACTCGCGGACGCGGCAGAGACGGGCCGGCCCCGGGATCTCGAGAGTTCCTGCTCGGCCGGCATCTCTGCTGGGCCCTGGGGGAACCAGGAACCGACAGGGCCGGGCCCCGGGCTCTCGAGAGGTGGCGGGGAGGGGGCCGTTTCCGGAAAGGTTGCGACCCCCAGCGGAAGCTCGAGGCGAAGCTCAGACCCGGAGCGGGCCGTAAAAGATGCTCCCCAGAGGGCTGGCAGCCCACCTGTTGGGCAGGTGGCCGCCCCCACCGAACTCGAGGCTGTCAGCTTAAGAACGTCACACCCCCGCACCCCTAGCTCTTGGCCCTCTAATTGGAGGAAGTTGATAACAGTAGTATAAAGCAATGACTGTAGTGCCGAGTAGTGATCATACTGAGTATCACTTACTGTTGATTCTGTGCTCAGTCAATACAATTTTCACATACATTCAATCCCCATGATAGTCCGTAATAGTTATGCCTAGCAAGTTTTAAGTAACTTGCCCAAGGTCATAAAGTGGTTGTTTGGATTCCGGTCCTAGTCTCATTCCATAGTCTATGTGCTTAACCACTAGTGGTTACCTCGGGGCTGCTAACTGCTAGGTCAGCAGTTCAAACCCGCCAACCCCTCCGAGGGAGAAAGAACAGGCTTTCTGCTCCCATGAAGATTGACCGCCTCGGAAACCCACAGAGGCAGTTCTACCCTGTCCTATTGGGTTGAGATGAGTCAAAAGCAGCTAGGTGGCAGCAAGCGAGACATTCCCATTTTATAGCTCGTGAATTGATCCCCAAACACTTAAGATCAAAAGGGTTGCCTTTGCAAGAAACTGGTTTGTTTGAGGAGTTTATTGAACATGCATGCAGCCCTGGACATTGGTCATCAGAATTAGTTAATCCCTTTCATGAGCGCTCCTGGGCAGCATTTGACTTCCACTTGTCAAAATCTGCTGCAGTGACAGCTTTGCCCCCTTTGAGAAAGGTGTCACATTAGAGACTTGAACCTCCAAAATCTATTTATGAAACATAAACATAACTAGCTGATGGCCCTTGGAGGGGGGAGTCATTGTATAGTGAGTTTTATTTAGCACCTGTTTAAGTGACATGTGCTTAAAGAAAGTTGGCACTATTCTGTCAGAATAAACAATATAATTTATTAAGTAGTCGCTTTAGTTTTCTTTGTGTTTATTTTTTAAAGCCAGTCAAATTCAGCAGTGGGGGTTTGTACACCAACTGTAGAGACACTAGCGTTAAAACGCTCTGATAACCGACTACCATCGGACCAGCCAGTCGCTTTCGTTTCTATGTATATTTCCCCACATTTGTTTGCTTATTATTTCTTCATCTCATTCATTTTTTAGACATTTCTAAGACTTTCCCAAAGATTCTGGAACGTTGCTATTCTGACTGCTCACCTTTTCATCTTGCTTGGGGTATTCGAAAAATAGTAGAGATCGTTGATGTAAGAGAGAGGGTCCAACAGCTTGATACTTTACCTGAAAAATACCTTTTATTTTGTGTCTCATCCATATATCTTATGTCTTTATCTTTAAAAAAAAAAAAAAGGCCTGCCCTGCTGTCTGCCACAGAAACTTACTGCTTCTTCAATCATTTCAGCTCTGGAAAGGAAGAGAAATGGAAGTGAAAAAGTTGGGCATTTCCTGGCAATTCTTGATAGTTCTGGTTCTAATCCTGCAAATTCTGTCTGCGTTGGATTTTGACCCATACAGAGTCCTAGGGGTCAGCCGGACAGCCAGTCAGGCTGATATTAAAAAGGCTTATAAGAAGCTCGCCCGGGAATGGTAGGTGAAACAAAGAAAAAACAGCTTAATATAAGCTAAGCAGTTTTAGCGGGGGATGAAACCCTAAATTACAATAAGTTTGATGTGTCTCTGTCTTTCTATTATATTCACACACACATATGTACATACAAACACATATCTATCTAGAATATTTGATGTGGGAAAATTAACTTGCATGGTACTCTAATTTTGAATGATGAGATCAAACCTGTATCATTTATGAAGCTCCTGCTTATGAGTCTTTGGACTTAAGAATTGCCGTAGATACTGTTTGCGTTGTGACTGATACGGTAGAATGTGATCTATAATTAAAGAAGAAAAACTGCCCACTGATCGGCAATGAGAAGGTTCCCTTCCCAGGATAGGTTACTCGTGATGTAACTCCAAGTAGACTGATTACTAAAAATGAGCACAATCTAATCCGAGTCTCCAAGTTGTTAATTTTTTAAGCTTTTAGTATTGTCCCTGATTTTTAAAAAATATTCATAACCATAACTTTAAACCAATGTCGTATGGGGGAAAAATCAGAAGTTAGCAAGGTCACAGTAAATATGAAACGTATTTTGGACAAATGTCATCCTTTCTCATGTCAATGCTTGGGCCATGGCAAAGAAGCAGAAGTGTTGGATTATGCCGCTGACGGGGAGCTGAGGAAGGAGGGATAGAAAGGATGCAGGCAGGGTGACCTAACCGCAGCATGAGCATTGCCTGCATGCTGGACTCCAGGTTCTGTGCTTTTTGTTTCATTCCAACCCTACAGCTACCCTGTGAGGAAGGGCAGTACTGTCCCTGTTCTACAGGTGCAGAAATCGAGGCTCAGGATGATTAAGTATATATTTACGCCTGCATTCCAGAGTTTGACCTGCACCAACAGGTAGTTCATCGGGTTTGTGTTGTTGCTTGGTTGTTTTTACACTCTCCTACCCACCAAAAATAGGGGAGAGCAGGTTCGCATTTGGGTGGAAAGGAGTTGCCTGAGATAGCAGGAAGCCATGGAGCCGCAAAGCTGCCACAAGCAAATGACACTGCAGGCTGTGCGTGGCTCTGGCTGGCACCGTTACTCACCAGTGGGAAGAATGTATCTATCAAACTGCTTGCGATGGAGGCAAAATGTAGTTTGAAACAATGTTTGGGCTAAGTAAATCTTTTAGACTGTTTTCATGTTAGGAATCCAGAAGTGGATGCTAAAACAGTATCCTTGATTCTGCTTGACGTCTTTCCAAGGACTCTGGAACTCCGGTTGCTCTCTGCACTATCACATGCTTGCCTGATCCTGCTTAAAGTAGAAATATCTAAATCTACAGTTGATTGATACAGAGCCACAGTTTGGGGGGACAAGGTACAGCCTTCAGTGACATTTTAAGGGCAAAAATGATAACTTCGTGTATGCAGAGCCTATTACAATTAACAGTTTGGGTTTTTCTGTCTTCGGAGCTGAAAAGGATGCGATGAGGCTAACTGAGTCACATGCTCCTCTTCGGTATATGATTATAGTCTCAATAGGAGGAGAATAGCGCCATCCCAGGAGTGTTGAAATCTTACTTGACCCTTGTATCTCCACGGTGTTGTTTGTCCATGTTTTGGTTGTGGCATTGTTCTTTCACTGACTTCCTTTAATTCTCACATGATTATGATTATGCAACTCCTAGTGTGTCCCAGAGTTTGCATTTTTAGAACGAGCTTTAGCAAGAAGAGATGCATTCATTTTGACCTGGGTCTGTAACTAGCTATGCTTTTGCTGCTTCATGCTGTTTCCCCGGGACTTTCTCCTTGCTTAGTAAAACCCTTTGAAATCCGTTTTGCCTTCAGGAAAGACATGTTTCTCTACTGATGATTGCATTTTAAGGTAGGTGCTTTTGCAAAATAAGTATTTCCACCCTGAGGGGGTGGAAAAGGCACTATCAAATCTGGCCAAATGGGTATAGCCTGGTTCAATCAATCTAGTTCTTTACTGGGTACCTTTCTCTACCTCCATTTGGTTTTCCTTTAGAGTGAGCTGGACAGCCAGCAGATACCACGCCCGGTATTTTCTTCCCTTTGACATGGAAATGATGCTTCTCGCTGTTCTTGAAATAATTTCAGATGCACTGACCAGCAGCACACAGTGCTTTCTTAGGGTTGAACTTAATCCTTTTCTGAATGTCTTCCCATGGTGTGTCCTGCAACTCGGGCCTTATAAGCTGAAAGCTGTCTCCTGGTTTCCTCCTGCTTTGGGGGCCCGGTTTCCTCTATTTCATGATCTGTGGTTTCTCACCCAGCTGCCTTCAGGGCTTGGTCTTTGGTTCCCTGACCTTTAAAGCTCCCTCGCCACCCTTCTTCTGTAAAATTCTATCTGTTAAATCTTCCTTTGTTCCATTGCATGATTTTGTCTTTTTCAGTCTTTAACTGAAGTTTGCATATTGAAAACTGTGTTAGTTGGGTGGACTAGAGAAACAAATTCGTAGACACTCAGGTATACAAGAGCTTTGTATAAAAGAGCAATTGTATATTGAGAAAACATCCCAGGTCAGTCCAGATCAAGTCCATACGTTCAATATTAGTCCATATGTCTGATATTAGTCTATAAATTCCTCTTCAGACTTAACACATGCAGTGATGCCAGTGGGTGGAAAGTCTTGTGGATCCAGTGGCGGTAGAAGCATCTCAGCTCTGGCATGGGTCTCTAGGTGGCTCCTCCAGCTCCAGGGCTCTGGCTCCATCAGTGGAGCTCTATCCATCTTGTCAACAGTGTCCCGCCTCCAGGGAGGAAGACAGAAGTTCCCAGAATCCTCAGAACAAGGCAATGCCCACACAGAGGCTTTACTGGCTATAACCTGATTGACAGGCTAGACTCCACCACTTCCTCAAGTTGACAGGCGATTATGTAACTGCCACAGAAACACGTTTACTTTATTTTTTGTCATCCAGAAGCATCTTGTTGCCCTGAGTCGCACCGTTTCCATTATGCCTGGCTAAGTTGTTTTCCTCCTACCCGTCTTCCTAACAAGCATTAAAGGGTTAGGTTAAGAGAAGAATGATGTTTACACTCAACCTCTCAGCTTCTAGAGCTGTCAGAATATGCAGTCTAATTCATTTAACATGTGTCTGCTAGACAACAGTGGTCAAATTATAGGGGGGTTTTGTTTTGTTTTTTAAAGGTCCAGTGTATTCGATGCTGTTTTCAGTAGTCATTTGCTTCTAGGGGACTCTTTCTTTACTTGAGCCTTAGCTAAAAGATATGTCCTCAAAATGAGCAGGAAAGATTACATTAAAAATAAGTGCTGTAATGCAGAGGCCTTCCAAGAAAGGAACGTTGCAGAATCAATCCACACAAAACACAGATCTAGATCTGAGGGGAGGCCCTGAGGAAGTAAAGTCCTGCCCTTACATTCCAGAGCTTTAAAGTCCCCAAAGTTCCAGTTGGTGTAAACACAGGAAGATTGCAGAATATATGGCAGCAAGTTGGGCACAGTTAATTGCCAGCTGAGTATAATACCAAATGTTGATGTTTTTGTGGCAACTGTGGAAGATTTGATGCAGTCTAATATTAGCTGAAGTCAGTGTTCAGAAACTAGCCTTTTCTCCCCTCTTAAACTTGTGGCCTTGATTCTAATATCCATTTACTTGTAAAAAGGCCAGTCCTGGACAGAATGGAATGATCAAGGTATTCATATTGAAAATCAAGACGTTCTTATTTGAAAGTCAGCAGCAAGATACCATAGGGAGCCTGGCTGTTAGTAAGCAAATTCATGGGGCGGCCTGAAAGCTGCTGCTGCTGCTGCCGCCTTCCTACGTTGCCCAAAGAAATGCCAACGTTGGGGTGAAGTGCTGCCTTTATCTTGGATGAGGCAGGGCTGCTTACAAAGAAGGGACCTGAGCCTCCAGCCACCCTGCAGTGTGCTGGAGCATTGGAAAGACTGGGCCCGCCCCACCTTGCCTCTGTGAAATGCTTTAAAAATACACCCAGCCTGAGTGCTTTGGGAGAAATAGCCTGTTTTGAGCATCAGTTAGTACAGGCATATGAAACAACTGGTTGCTTCTACCATTTATTTCGAAATTGCCCCAAGCAGAATGGTCTGCCATCTGCCTGTGATGTAATAAACTGTGTCTCCAAGGATGTTATGAAGGTAAACCAGCCCCCCACAACTAATCACAGGTTTGGTAGGCACAATCGTACAGTTGAGATATATAAAGATTATAGTAAAGTCATAAGGAAACAGGAGAGATGGGAGAGAGAGAGTAAACAGAAGTCAGACACATTTCGTGGTAGCATGCTCACCTCAGCTCCTCTTGATGGTCCACGCGGAGCTGGGAGATGAGCAGGCAGGAGAGAGAGCACGAGGTTCTATTTCTAAGCAAAGCTTACACATCTTTGGGGGCATGCAAGACTCCTGATTACAGGTAATGATCTACGTCACAGGAAGGGGTGGTAACATAGGCAATACAAGCAATAGGAGGGCGATGACTTAGGGGTGTACACGCAATAGTAAAGGGAGAGAAAGGGGGTACATATGTGGCAAGATGGGCGGACCCTAGACTCTATAGTAGCCTAACCTTAGTCATCCTTGAGTGGTCCCGGGCTTGCCTTTGGGCTCTCCTTCAAGGGAACAATATCAGAAGGGAGTGGGCCCTACTCAGGGTGAGTCAGATTATTCAGTCTGGTTGTTTTAGATGGCTGATACCCTTAAGGAGAATAACCTCTGACCAACTTTAGTTGGCCTCCTAGTGTACAGTCATTTACATGTGTAGCAAGCAGCGTCTTGGGTTTGGCAGATACTTGGGGGAGACAACTGGGGGGAAATCTTCTGTATCCCACAGGATGTTAACTGGCCAGGAGTGAAAAATTAAACCTAATCTTGTTTCCCCATTTTGTGTTTCAGGCATCCTGACAAAAACAAAGATCCTGGAGCCGAAGACAAGTTCATTCAAATTAGTAAGGCTTATGAGGTACCGTGCCAAACTCTGATGCACCCACTGGCCTGTATAAACTGGCCTTAGGCCCTCCGTCTCCTGAGGTCTCCTCAGAAAAGGCATTTCCCCAGCCCTTGACCCAGTTTCTAGAAGATGGCAGAGAGAACGGATTTGGCCACATCCGTTATGTGGAAACAAGTGCCTGAACACTTCAGCTCTTGAACTGCCTGACCTCTTTCCAAAGGCTTTCATTGGAAATGTAGAGTTACCTGGAGTACAGGTCTCTACTGCCCTTTAGAAACTTACATGAAAGAATTACAGACCAACTTCTCTCACGCTACGTTACAAATACCCAGAATTTGTACAGTTTTCCAACACGTCAGTTCAGCAGGTGGTTCTGCAATGTGAAAGTCAGGTCCTGGCTTCCTTTGGGAAGAAATAATATGGTGATCGGTGCATAGGAATGACACGCCACCCTAAAGCAGAGTCTTGCACGGGTTTTAGACTTCCAAGTTGTTTTTTAAGGAAAACCAAGTTAACTAGCAGACAAGATTCAAGGCTGTGGCCACTTTGGTTTTCACAGCATCCCTTGCTGTGCTTTGAATTAACGCCAAGGCATCACTGAGCTCATTTTCTTGCGATGAAGCCCTGGCCATCGGCGTTGTGTCAAGTTACTGGCTTTACTGATGTAAACTCACCAGTGTTCTGTGGCTCAGAAAGGTTTCGTGCTAATATAGAGCGCACGTATCTGACTGACTAGAGTGTTTATTTCAGTCCTGAATTACCGTCTGTTTTCTATTGAGGGAAGAGTTTCTGGGAATATGTAATGTCTTGATGTTTGCATGTACAGAGGTATGTGTTGCTTATCCATTTGAGCACCAGCTGACTCCATATATGTCCATGGCCCTTTGAGAGTCTCATAGAATTCAGAAATTCCAATCAGAGATGGACCATCGCAGACAGACCTAGCTGAGTACTGTGATCTAGAACTCTGATCTGTTGCTGGCTGCATCCCAACCCCAGGGTAGCAGGGGGAGGAAGTCCCGGCACCCATCCACGCTTGCCTCAGGCAGGAGCTGTGCAGATACCAGAGCTACCAAGGTATGGCACCTGCTGGCCCAGCCCAAGACCGGCTTCCTCCCCAGCGGCCTCTGAGGAGTGGTCCAGGGCTTGACGACAGCGGGAGGAGAAATAAGAAAGGCAGCCAGCTGCTTGATGACCGAGGCGTGGAGTGCAGGCAGGGGCCAGACGCAGCTCTGGGTGTGACCAGGCAGTGGCCGGGCAGCAGCAGTGGCGGCAGTGCCAGAGTTTGCAAAGTGCCTGGGCTCCGGCAACTCCTGCCCACATCTCTCCTGTGTGTACTGTGCTGTTCACAGAGCCTATCCAATCACACAGCGTCCTGTTTCTGAGAACAGATCAAAGGCAGTGAACTTGTCATTTCACTCTATGTCTTCTAAGCTGCTTCCTTATACATTTCTTTTCATTGCTTTCTTACAGATCCTTTCCAATGAGGAAAAGAGATCAAACTATGACCACTATGGGGATGCTGGGGAGAACCAGGGCTACCAGAAGCAGCAGCGAGAGTATCGCTTCCGCCATTTCCATGAGAATTTTTATTTTGATGAGTCGTTTTTTCACTTCCCTTTCAACTCTGAGCGGCGGGACTCCGTCGATGAAAAGTATTTATTGCACTTTTCACATTACGTGAACGAAGTGGTGCCAGATAGCTTCAAGAAGCCCTACCTCATAAAGATCACCTCAGACTGGTGCTTCAGCTGTATCCATATCGAGCCCGTGTGGAAAGAAGTCGCTCAAGAACTGGAAGACATAGGTAAGGTCATCGTGGTCTTTGGACGTGGTCGTGTATCAGCGAAGGGGACTTGTAAACTCTTGAATTAGATGGGCTGTTGGGGAGAAAGCGCCATTGGTATCATTTTTCCTCACAAGCTCGTGGAAATTGGAATTGTGCAGAGGCACATTTTCAGAGAGGGGAGAGGCATAAGCCACTTCCATTTTGCATTAGTACCTTGAAACGTTTGTCTGTCTAATTTCCCAATGTCTGGTGTGGGACCTAATAAATAAGAGAAGCTCAGAAATTAACAGATTGAACCCAGCAGCTGAGCATCAGTTGTAACACCTGTGCATCTTGCACATAAATCTGACGATACTTGTGATTTCACTCATAATGGCCATGGGTGCCCAGATTCCTAACCAACCCAACCTGCTGAGAGTCAGCTCTGACTCAGAGCCACCCTGTAAGACAGAGAATGGTCCCGTGGGGTTTCCTTCGCAGAGAAGACTGCCTCCTCTGCCTCCCACGGAGCGCTGATGGGTCCGTCACTGACCTTGCAGGAGCAGCCTGTGCCACCACGGCTCTTCCTTTCTTTTCCTTCTTTTTATCATTTTATCGGGTGCTCTTCCAGCACTCATAACAGTATCATTCCATAGTTCAATCACGTCCAGCCGGATTGTACAATTGCTGCCACAGTTTCCAGATAATCTTGACATTGTCTCCCCTTCACCCACCTCCACTCCTTGGTGTACTTGCTGCCTCTAGAGTCATGATTAGCCCCTTCTTAGTCCATGTTTATTGACTAGTGCCTGGACACAGGACCATCAAAACCCAAGCCCACTGCCAGTGAGTTGATGCCAACTCACAGCGAGCCTATGGGGCTGAGCAGAATTGGCCCCTGTGGGTTTCCAAGGCCGTCGGCCTTTACGAGAGCAGCCTCAGCTGCCTCCTACAGCACGGCTGATGGAATTGAACTGCTGACCTTGCAGTTAGCAGCCCAGTACTTTGCCCACAACACCACTAGAGATCCAAAGAGGATATTTATTTGAATAACTCCTGAAAGTTGGAATCACTGTGTCTGTTTTGAAAGTGCCAGCAGACCTGTTTGACACAGGGACCTGGGCTTCTCTGCAGAGCACATACTGCTGAAAACATCAGCTCAGTGATTCTAAATAGGAACCCTAATCTCCTCTGAGAAGCCTGGAGGTGCTCAGGCTTGTAAAAGACGTCCCTGAAGCCGAATCAAGAAGTTCTTAGACGCTGAGGGAATATGGTTAGCACGGTAGGTGTCAGTAGGTGCGTGCTGTTGATGCTTAGGTGAATGGTTAAGAAGGTGAAGCCAGGTACAAGCCGCCGAGCTGAACAGCTGTCTTCGTGATAAAGCCCACCGCAGTGTCTGCGGCGCGGCGCTAGTGCTCTGCCCGGGGTTGGCATGAATGCCAATAGCAAAGCATACTCGTTGCACTAGTCCGTGATTTAGTGCGGTAATGCATTTTCACCAACATCATTTTCCGCGTGCCAGGCCAGCGTAGATGACGAGAGGTGGCGTAGATGGCAGAGTGGTGATTAACACAGGCTGCGGAGTTGGGTAGGCCATGGTTTCCATCTCAGCGCTGCCAATCCTCGGACAAATTGCTGAACCCAAGTTTGTTCATCTCCAAACCAAAAATAAGCAAAGAAACTCACTGCCATCGAGCCGATTCTGACCTCTGGTGACCCTGTAGGACGTGCGGGTAGAACCGCCCTGTGGACTTCAGAGACTGTGACTCTTCATGGAATAGAAAGTCTCTCCTTTTCCCGAGGAGCCGTTGAAGTTTCGAACTACTGACCTTATGGTTAGCCGCCCAACAAGTAACCACTGCACCATCAGGTCCCCTCATCTCCACAAGTGGGTGATGACACCAAACTAGCGTAGTCTCATTAGAGATTCCATGACGGGGGACAGGTGTTTCTTCAAAGTACATGCTTTGAGGAAGTGCTGACTTATGGTTAGCCTCCGCCGAACACTGTAACCCACTGACCCAGCAGGGTTCCTAATAAGCACTTACAAAAGAAACTTAGCAAATTGCTGGTCCACTGGGTTTTCTGGTTTGCAAAACTCTTTTTTAAGTGCCTGTTGTACAAGTCTTTTTTGTAAATATTTCTTAAATGCATTATTCTACTCTGATTATTAACTGCCAGCTTTATTACAATTTTTTGAGCTGAGCTTTAAAAGGCGCTGAGTCTGCTGAGCAGAAACTGGAGGTGTAACTTCAACAGGGGACAGTGCACACTGAGAAACAAACATTCTGCACCCACAGAACAGCCAGCAGCTCCGTGTGGCTCAGGCCTAGGCTGTGCGTGAGAAAGGAGGGGTGGGGCAGGGCATGCTGGGAGCCAGGTAGTAAGGAACTTGAAACTCCAGGCTACGGAACTGGACTTTATTTTATAATGTGTAATAAAGCCAAGAAAACGTTTTACATAGAGGAGTGACCTGATCGTACTTCAGAAAGTCACCCGTTAAAGCTGTCTGAGGACAACTAAAGTGGGAGGAAATGCAAGAAAGTGACTCGCTCTGACAAGAGACAACCGCTAGGTTGAACGAGGGCAGTAGGAGTAGAGAGCTGTGGACAAAGGGTGTGTCAGAGAGAAGGCCATGGGGGCCTGAGAGGCCTGGGGTCTGGAGGTCGTGTGAGTATAAGAACTGAGGAAAGGGGAGGAGAAGGGCTCGAAACTGACTGCACTCCGACTTGAGCTCCTGACGTGGGGACACAGGAGAGAAGGGCTGGATTGAGGAGAAGTGGTGTGCGATGGTAACTACAACTTGAAGATCCTGAGTATAATGATGAAGAAACATAATACAAGCAGTACAGTCTCCACGCTCACTGCCATTGAGCCCATGGTCACTCCAAGCCGCCCTACAGGACAGAGTAGAACTGCCCCTGGGGGGTTCTGAGAGTCAACCTTTACGGAATAGAAAGCGTCATGTTTCTCCCACAGAGCGGCTGGTAGTTTGAACTGCTGACCTTGTGGTTAGCAGCCCAACACCATAACTATAGCACTAGGGTTCCTAATAATGGTAATAGTTCATGTTTATTGAGAGTTGACCATTTGCCAAGCACTATGATAAATATCACCTCGTTGTAAACAACCACCTGTGAGGCAGGCACTATGGTCACCTCTTTTTGTTTATATTTGAGGTGCTTAACTTACTTTGGGTACCTTGTCCAGGGTCAGACAGTTGACATTTGCCAGTGCCCACATTCGAACCTCGAACCCACGTAGTCTGTCTGCCTTTACAGCCGTGTATTCAGCCATGATGCTATACTGCCTCTCTGTCCCAAAACGCCTGATGATTGGGGATCTTGCTGTTCTTTGGGGTAGTTGTGTAGCATAAATCTGGCCCGTCACGGCTTAAAATGACAGGGATGGAAGACCCATTGAATGAAAATGTGATCTTTAGAATTAGTATCCACTGAGTTTTTTAGCCCGTTCCCCAGCCCACTCCCAAATAGTTTCTATGACAGGTTTTGACCGAATGCATTCAATTTATTAGGCTTATAGACCATTTTCCCCTTTGGAACTTTGAAATTGGTTAAAGATTTCTGATTGTTAGGTTCCACTTGCTCCAGTTGACACTGACATCAAGATGAGGGACAGTGGCCACGGCCAGTCCCTGTTCAGTTGAGGCAGCCCTACTCTTCCACACACAATGTTTCCATGCGAGGTGGGCAGAGCCAACAGCCTTAGAAAGAGCTGAGTGGTTTGGGAGTGCATAGACATTACCAGGCTATCGTAAAACAGCTGAATTACAACGACTGAACGAAGCAGAACCATTCTACCCAGAGGAAAAATGTAGGCAGAATCTAGAGTCATGCCATCTAGTTATTATAATAAGTAGCGCTAAAGCATCCAATATTTATAGACGTGAGTAGGCTATACAGCAGTGCTCAGAAATAGCATAGCTCCTGGCCTTAAGGAGCTTAACATTTACTTGAAGGGAAAATATGTGCACAGAGAATCAACAGGAGCCACACACTTCAAGTCCAGAACCATAAAATACTGCAGGAGCAAACAGAGGGTGACATGCTCATTTAAGATGTTTAGTTAATTAATTAATTAGATGGTTTTTTGACCAAAATTATGTACCAAGTACTGTATTACACTAAAAATACTATATATACTCGTGTATAAGCCGACCCGAACATCAGCCGAGGCACCTAATATTACCACAAAAACTGCATTTAAAACTGTGCTGGAAAACTCGACAATACACGAGTATGTACAGCAAATAAATAACTCATTATCACCCAGTTGATCCTGATTTGTGGTGACCCTATAGGACAGAGCAGAACTGTGCCTAAGCGTTTCCAGGGCTGTCTGTCATCTTTATAGAGGTGGACTGTGATCATCTCTCCTGCCAGCTTTTCACTTAGCCGCTGAGCACTTTACCAGCGCACCACCAGGGCTCGCTCATATTAGACGTTAGTGAAGACGTATAAGAACTGTCATTTTTATTGAGCTCTTCAGTTGTCGGCATCGTACTAAGTGCTTTGTGGGGGTTCTATGTATTCCCAGAACAACCCAACGAGGGAGAAATGGTGATTGTCCCTACTTGACAGAAGGCTGAGACCCTACTCCACCATCACACTGCTAAGCAGCAGCTGTGTTGGACATGGGCCAGAGTCCACTCACTGAGCCACGGGCTGTACTGCTTAAGAAACACTAAAACTAGCCCCTGCTTTGCTCAGGAAACTCAGGAAGAGACTCCCTTCACCCACCTCACTCACTACAGCACAGTCCGTGCTTGCTGGGGCCAAGAATGATGAGCTTTTTGAAACTCAAAGGGCAATGTTAAGTAAATCTACTTTGGATGATGAGATGGTGATTATCTACAATCACATCTTACTTTTATATTTTGCTACCAAA